ACAGAGGGGCCAGTGCCTGGTGGAAGGTCATGCCATTTATCAGCGGTGGATGCGGAGTTAGGAGCTCTTACTCTTATCTCAGCCTCTAAGTTTTGGGATCCCTAGAAAGGGCCATGAGTTAGAAAAGGATGCTGTCTTCTTACCATCTGGGCTCAGGGTAGGGCAGTCCCTCGGCCTGATTCTCTTTCAGTGGATTCTCACCGCGCCTTTGCACGACTTGCATCTGCTTCTTGCTGACTCCCGCTGGCCCTGAGCTTGAACGTGTCACAGTTACTTGCCAAGTCCCTGGTTTCTAGGCTGGCTCTTTGGGGCTTGTCTCTGAGGTGGCTTTCCTTGGGGGTGTCCTCGCCTCCCTGCAGGTAGGGAGGGCATGCTTGCCTGGGGCTCTGGCCTGTGGGAGGGAAGTGGGGTCCCACCTGCTGCTTCCTCTCTGGCCTGGCACAGTCTTCCTTGGGTGCAGTCAGTAGAGGTGTCTGACTGTCACAGCTCTGGCTGCCAAACAGGAACAGCAGCAAAAAAGCCCCAAACAAACAAAACTCCAGGGAGGTGTTCAGCCCTCCTTCTCCCTCCCCCCGTCCCCTGCTAGCTCGCCCGAGCCTCCCTCCACACCTGGATTGGCATCCTTGGGGGTAGTCTGGTCCAGGCCTGTCTTTGAGGGTCTTTACCTCAGCCAGGGGGATCTTCCCACTCACTGAGGACCTGACATGACGACTGGCCTTGGTAAGGAGCCCAAACCAGGGCTCAGCCCCCCAGGAAAGCAAGAAGCCTGGTAGGGGTGGGGAGATGGGGGGAAGCTTTCAGTCTCTCAGGGGATGTTTGGGCACCTGGGCAGTCTCCAGAGCACTCCTGGTACAACTAGCCTGCTTGGGGCTTCAGGTGAGATGAGCTTGGGAGACCCCAGCTGGGAATGGCATCTGGGCATCAAGTGCCCCTCTGGGATTCTGGAGGCCTGTCCTGATTGGTCCTTACATGGTCCAAGGACAGGAATCTCAGTCTCCCCTCCATCCCCTTTGCTCCTGGTCCCTTGTAATGGGTGACAGGACACAGTCTTGATCATCCAAGAGGCAGAAAAGGGCAGAGGAGGGGTGAGGGCTGGTCCGAGGTAAGGAATGGGGAGAGGCTTGGATTGGGACACCCAGAAGCCTCCCCGAGGTGTCCTCAGCAAGGAGGACTTTTCTTGTTTTCTTCCTCCTCCTTCCTTGCATTTCTTCCCCGTGTCTCTCCCTCCCAGCCTCTGATGAGTCTCCCATCCACCCCTTCCTCTGCATTTCCTGGTGCTTTGTGCTGCCTCTCTCTTCCTTCCTGTCTGCCTACCCCTCTCAGTCTCCTGCCCATTCAGAGTCCTGGCCTGGGGCTCCTCTGTATATCAGCTCTGGGGGAGGAGAGGCATCTGGGTCTCCCCCCCCCACCCCCGCAGCCTGGCCAGATGCCTTATTGGGAATGGCATCCCTGTGTCATAGTTTCAGTGCCTCCTCTTCGCCGGCTCCCCATTTGGCCTGAGGCCTGGCCTGTGGAGCCACAGGCCTCTGATAACGCTGGGTAGCAAGACATAGTTACTGGATGAGTGTTCCAGTGAGCACATCCCAGCCTGGCTCAGTCTCTGGGGCAGGGTGTAGCTGTTGGGGAGATAGATGGGGACTCTCTGGGCAGGGGATCCAGGAGATGGTTTGGGATCTGCAGGGCAGAATCTTAGCCTCATTCCAGGGCAGGATGGGAAGGAGGATCACTCCTCCAGGAGCCCTTCCCAGATGAGCCTGCTCAGGTTCCTTTCCATCTCTCATCTCTCTCCAAAATGCATGTCCATACCGATGGTCATTATCTGAGTCAGAGCCCTCTCCCTGATGAAGCTGGGGACTCCTGGCCTCTTTTCTCTGGATCTTCCCTTCAAACAAGGCTGTCTTGAGGCTGCAGGAGGGAGGCTCTGCCCAGGGACCAAGTCCAGGGAATGGCATGGCCTAGGCTGGGGACTAGGGCTTTTGAGCAACCTGTGGCTGTGTGATAAGAATTTCTGAAGGTCCCACAGCGGGAACTGGGAAGCTGAGTATAGGTTTGGGAAGGGCAAGGGCAAGGAAGGGAGCACTCACAGCAAGGATGGAGAAATTAAGCCTCTTCCACGGGCCAGACAGGCTGTGGAGACACAGAGGAGGCACCGGCCCAGGGACAGGTGTCTGGGTCATCTTCTCAGAATGGGAACATGAGGTGGGACCTGAAGGAAGAAGAGTTGTCCTGGCAGGGGAGGGCAAGGGGGTTGCAGACGGGGTTAGCATCGTGAGCTGTGGAAGTGGGAAACTGTTGGTGTGGGATGGCAACAATGACGAGAGCTGGTATTCCTGGAGTGTCGGAGGTGCTGAGCGCTCACAGGAGCAGCGACTTCCTCAGGGCCATGGAGACTGCGATCCAGGTGTTTTGCTACTATGCATAAAGCCCTTCAGGCTCCCTGGGGCTTACAGGGTAGAAGATCCTTTGTACCCGCTGCCCTTCTTCCTCTGTGTCTCCTCCATGCCCCTGCCCAGTCCCACCCCCACCACAATGGCCATTTCCCTGAACCCACTGAGTGGTGTCATGTGTTGATGTGGGGCAGTGCAGGTGCAGAAGTGTTCCATCATCACATACAATTCTGTTGGACAGTGCTGACCTGCAAGAAGGCATATGAGATGGGCTGGAAGGCTGCAGACCCCCGGAGGCTGTGAGCTGCTTCAGGACAGTCTAGCAGGGCCACGTGGGCGGTGGCGGGGGCTCTGCTCCTGGAGTTAGGAGACCTGGTTTCTGGTCTGGGGCTCTGCCACTCACCAGCTGACTGATTTAGGACCAAATGCTTGGCCTCCCTGGGATGTGTAAGATTTCGTTGTACTAGATGATCCTTGCTTTTTTCTTTTTCTTTTTTTCCAGTTTGGTTCAACAAATGTTCCTCAGAACTGTTGTCAACCCCCTTGGTATGCCAGGTACTCGGCTTTCAGTGGGAACCAAGGTCCTTGGCCAAGCAGCGTGCTGGGGAGGTCGGGCAGGCACTGGTGTTCTGTAATGAGGGCAGGCCTCTGGGGCCAGGGAGAGGTAAGCACAGGCTAATTACACTTTCCATCTTCACAGCACTTAGCCCAATTTGTAATTATTTATTTTTGGTTGTTTACTTGTTTGTGTCTGCCTCCCTGTGAAGCTCTGTGAGTGCAGGTTCTATGTGGTGACGTCCCCCCCCCCCAGTGTCCCCCAATGCCTGGCACAGTGTTTGGCACATAGTAGGTGCTTAATGATTATCTTCTCTTCAGGAATGAGTGAAAGGCCATCCTTTGCACAGGGCCCTTGTTGTACTGTATTGTGACACAAGATACAACATTAAGAGCTTTGGGATGCTGTAGAGTGGGTTGTGGACGAAAGTCAGGATGGGGGAACACCCCGTCTCTGGAGACCAGCTGGGGCTCCTGCCCCACAGGACCTAGCTACTTCCTTGCCAGACTGAGCTGGGCTGCCTGGGATGAGCCCCAGGTTGACATTTTGTCCTCCGCCTGGGGTGTCATGTGGACCACGACCAGCTGACTCCTTGGGCCTGGCATCCTACAGAGGGCCAAATGCCTTGGGTGGGTGAGAAGATTAGGGTCTCCCCTGTAAAGGAAGAAACAGAAGAAAGTCTCCCCAAACTGGTGGAGGCCCCACTAGGTCTAGAATTTAGTCAAACATGCAGCTGGGGCAGGGCAGGGACCAAGCCTTAGGCCCCTTGGGTCCCTCTCCTTTGATGTAGGACTCAGTGGTGGAGCACATGGGGGTAGGTTTCCTCTGGCCCAGGCATAGGGCAGGCCCGTGCCCACTGTGTGGGTGCTGGGCTCATGCCAGCAGCATGCAGCATGGTTGCCCAGTCTGCTTCTTGGTGGAGAGGAGCAGGAGGAAGGATTGCACAGAGGGAGACTGGCAGGAGGGCGCCGTTTCCTCTGCGGCTCAACGCCTCCCAGGGAGGGCCAGGAGCAGCATGGGTTGCCTGGGTTCCCTGGGAAGCACCACCTCCTCTCCTCTGCTTCCTCTCCCAGGAGGCAGTGCCAAGTCCCAGCAACAAGGGTCCCGTCGTGTCCACTCTCTATGCCACCCACTGTGCCCAGCCTCAACCAACCCTTGAGGATGGTTCCTCTAGTCCTCATTTCTCAGGCCTCAGACAGACACTCAGCATTCCTGCTCCCTCCTGTCTGCCTCTGAGCCTTCGGGCTGGCCCTCGCCAGCGCTGCCTGCTTCCTTCCTGTAGGAAGTCTCCCCAAAGAGCCCCTCACTTGTCCCTTGAGCAGGAGAGCTCTCACAAGCAACCTCCATGATGGCAGGACATTGTTTTGTTCACTGTTCTCTTGCCACGGCATGTGGCAGGTATATGCTATAGGTAGCTGTTGAATTGTAGTGTATCTTCTGGCATCTAGCACTTGTTTCTACGGCTCTCCTAGGCGGGGCTCTCTTCTCTCCCTGCCCCCATTAGGCAGGGTCTAGGGATCGTGATTCCCCTCCTCCCAGTTTGCCGAGAATCCTGGTCACTGGAGAAATCTGCCTCCCCCAGCTATCTGGGCATTCATCCAGGAAAAGCTTTCTGAGTCTCTATGGAGTGCCTCTCCCTGTGCCAAGCAGTGGGGTAGATAAGAAGACAAATGAGGGCTGTGACTGGGGTGTTCACCCCACGGTTCCCAACCCCCTCTGCCTCTGAGACCAGCATTTTCTGAGCTCTGGAGTCTCTTTGCATCCAGCTGCTGCCTCCAGGCCAGCTACCTAGCTGGTTCCAGCCTCCTCACCTTTCTATTCCTGGCACTGCACACAGCTAGGAGGCGTCCCTCTCCGTGGGGCTGCTTTCAGAGGGGAACAAAGAGGGACTGGAAGGCAGGGTGGCTGACAAAGGGAGGCCAGGGGAGTGGTAGGGCATCTGGAGATGCTTATTTGTAAGCCCAAATCGCTCCCCTGAGCTTCAGCTATTGCCTTTATCTGGCCCAATAATAGACCGAAACCATATTCTGCTCCCTGTTGAGCGATCTGTGAGCCTGTCAGGGTGGCGGCAGCCCAGGGTGGTGCTGGGCACTGCTCCAGCTGACATAGGCCAGCCCTGGGAAGCTGCAGCTGGGTGGGGAGCCAGCAGCCTGCAGCTGCTCCCACAGCAGGGATGTCCCACTCATTCAGGGGTCCTTAGGGCCCGTACAGGAGATTCTCAGGACATATCTGCAGGACTGAAGCTTCATCTACCGTGGTGTATGGTTCACTTGCCTTTGTATTCCCAGCACCGGGCTCAGTGCTTGGCATACAGTAGGAGCTCAATGGTTGAACTTTATGCTTTCAACACCTATTTAACAGGGACCTACTATGTGCAGGCAGCTGTGTCTCCTCTCTCCCCATCCTTCTATTTTCCTCCTCCAACACCTGTTGGGGACCCCCTGAGGCAGCCAGATGTAGGAGTCTCCATAGCAGCTGGTCCGTAAGAGGCCAGTTTGAGGCCAGTCCTGCCCACTGCGTCTCAGGGAAAAAGGAGGAGGAAGTCCTTCCTTGTGTCCCAGTAACTCACGTCAGCACGCAGGCTTACAGCTGTGCTCCCATGTGTCCCCCATGTCATTTCCCCAGCACTGCAGGCAGGCCAGGTGCCGTTGCACTCCCATTTTGCAGAGGAGTGGGATTTGCAGCCAGATCTTCTACCTCATAATTTGGCACCCAGCGAGGCTCGTGAGGTTTGGGTCTTAGTTGCTGAGTTAAGTGCTGAGTTTCTGGAGGAAGCGAGAAGGGTGAGATCAGAGCTGGGGTTGAGGTGGGATGGGGAGGGTGGCAGAGGCTGATGGGGTGAAGAGCAGAGGGAACACGGTGAGGGCCAAGCCAATCCATGCAGGCAGGCTCAGTACAGGGCCCCCCACCTGGGCCGCTGGGAATCTGATGACCTCAGCTTCTCTCTGAGGTGCCACGGGCTGCCTCCTGCCAGCACCGGCAAACAGTGCTGGGCGAGACTGAGCACTAATGACTGTTTTCTAGCAGGCGATTCCTCTATGTAGGGTGTATCTTCCCGGGTCATCGCTCTGCAGTCTGCACTTACCAGGGTAATAGCAGCTTGGTCTCCTGCCCGCCCGCTGGCCCCAGGGCCCTGCAAACAGATGGCAGCAGATGAGGGAGAGGAGGGCAGGAATAAACAGAAGCGGCATCCCTCACCCCACCCTGCCCCTCTGTCCTGGGTCACTGCAGGAGTTTGTATCCTCAGCATCAGGGTGGCTCCTTTCCCAGCAATGCCTCACTGCTGCCCAGATCCAGGGAAACCCCCAGACACCCACACCGCCTCCCATTCCTTACCTTAACTGTCGACTACTGCCCAAGCCCACATAGACCCCCTCGCTTGCTCCTGAGATCCCTCACCCACCTTTCTCTGGGCCACATGCTGCTTCACATCTATCCTCAGGAAGCCGAAGGAGGAGAGGGCAGTGCTGTTGACTGAGGATATCCTGGGTATGAGGCACAGTGCCTAGAGTGTTACTGTGGCTTTCCAAATCCCTATGACCAACCATGTGGTAGGAGTTATTTTCAGTTTACAGTTCAAGATGCTGAGGCTCTGGGAGCTTGAGTGACTTGTCCAAGGTCACCCAATGTGGTAGGCAGAGTAGTAGCCCCTCAAAGATGTCCACGTCCTAATTCCCAGAACCTGTGAATAAATTACCTTAAGGCAAAGGGGACTTTGCAGGTGTGATTAAATTATAGATCCCAAGACTGGGGGATTATCCAGGATTATCTGGGTGGGTCCAGTGTCATCACAAGGGTCCTGTAAATGTGGAAGAGGGAGGCAGAAGAGGAATGCCACGTGAGAACGACTTGACTGGCCATTGCTGGCTCTGAAGATGGAAGGGGAGACGAGCAATGTGGGCAGCCTGGAGAAGCTGGGCAGGCAGGCAAATGGATCCTCCTTGGAACCTCCAGAAGGAGCCCAGCCCTGCTGACACTTTGACTTTAGCTCGGTGAGACCCATTTTGGACATTGACCTCCACAGCTGTAGTAACACATAAGATTTATATAAATAAATCATAAATAAATAAAATTGTTGCTGTAAGCCACTAAGTTCATGGTAACTTGTTACATCAGCAACAGGAAACTAATCCTGCCAGCAGGTAAGAGGCCAAGCTGGGAACGGAACCAGAGCGGGGGACTCGGCCCCTGTGCACTCCCTTGACTTCCCTTCCTGATGACTGAGCTCTGCTTGCCACCTTCTCTGCCTCTCTTCCACCCTCTGCCTGCATGTCCTGAAGGGAGCCAGACAAAGCCTGGTGAAAGCCTGGCGGGGAGGAGGATGGGAGAGGAGCTTCGGCACTGGGACAGGGTCTGGATTTCAGTTGCTGTCCTCCTCTAGTCCCCAGCCTCCCTTTCCTGTCTCTCCTCCACCGTGTGGGTCAGGAGTTCTTAGAAACATGCCTGCAGCAGTCTGTTTCATGGGCGGATGGAGTGAGGCGGGGTCTGTGGTAGCCATTTGGGCTGGGAGTGGGGATGTGGTTTCCGGCCTGAAGTCACGAGCAGCCTGGCTGCTCCGCACTTGGCTTGGGTTCTCTTTCCTGGTGCTGAGTCCTTTGAAGCAGGAAGGTGGGTGGGATGAGGGGGTGTCTGTAGGCCTCCTCTCTGGGACCCCTGCGGGTCTGTGTGTCTATGCAGTGCAAGGGGAGATACCTGCGTGTCTCAGTGCCCGGTTGTGGGGAGGAGCCAAGGATCCTGCCCCTCTGGTGTTTGTGTCTCTGGTCTTGTGGACCTCTCCGGGCAAGGTGTCTTTTCAGACCCTGTAGGTGAGTGTGTCTACTCAGGGCTCTGATGCGTGTGTGCCTGTGTGAGTATATCTACTCATACCCTGTGTATGAGGGAATGTGTGACTGTATGTGGACATGTGTCCCCTGTGCCCCTGTGTGAGCATGTGAATGGGTGAGCATGTCTACTTACACCCGTGTGTGTGAACACATGTGTGGGTGCCCACTCATGCCTCTGTGTGAATGCTTGAGTGTGCAAGTGTGGTAGTATTTCTGCTCACACCCCTGTGTGAGTGTGTGAGCACATGAGTGTGTAAACACACCACTCATGTCCCCCTGTGTGTAAGTATGCGAGCATATCTGTTTGTGTCCCTGTGTGAGTGTGTGAGCGTGTGCACACTCCCCACCCGGCTGGGGGAGCACGGTACTGCACCCAGCGCTGCCCCTCCCCCAGCCCGCCAGCTGGCATTGCCTCACCCCGTGACACAGCCACTAATGACTGTTTGCCATTGTCTGTGCAGTGGTGGCATCACCCGTGCTAATGACAGTCTCCCCTGCCTAATGACCTGGCTCCTGCCCCATCATTTAGAAGCCACAGGAGCACTGGCCCCATGGCCAAAGAGATGTTGACGAGCTCAACACATTTCCCGCTGGGTGTCGGTGGGGTTGGGGAAGCATAAACCCCACCCCTCTCCCGCAGCCCTCAGGTGCCCGTGTGGGCTGGGAATTTCAGCTGGCTGATGGCATTCCTGGGCGGGAAGCCCCATGTCTGGGCCCTGTCCCCTATCTCTGGCAGGCCTAGGTGCTGCTGCCTGGGCCCGACGATGCTCCCTGCTGCCCCTCCCCACAAGGGTGCCCTGGAACCCGGTAGCCAGCCTGCATCAGCTCCCATAGACAGGGGTCTGCCTTCCCCCATGAAGCCCCCTGACCCTCTCATCTCTGTCAATGGAGATACCCCTCCTGAGGAGTCCTCTCTTAGCTCAAGAGGCTCTGGTCTGGGGCCACCCCTGGGGAGCAATGGGTTTGGAGCAGCCAGGCAGTTCCTGTGGTCCAGGGCAAGCCACCCTGCGTGGAGACCACTGCAGAGACCTCATTCAACCACACCGCCAATATTTCAATTATGACCGAAAGTAAGTTCAAATAGCCTTCTGGATTGTGAAGGAGGAGCTGGGGAGGGTTGCTGCCCCTTTCTGTGAACCCACAGTTATTTGTTCATACTCTCTCCTACTCTGAGCCCACCCCACCCTATTGGTGTTCCCCATCTGCAGCGCTGCCGCCTCCCACCTAAAATTTACCTAGGTATGCAGAGAAGCCTAGGACCCTGCCTGGCTCAGTGGGGACTCACTAAAGATTTTCCGATTTAAGGGATGCATGCCTGCAACTAGCTGTGTGATCTCGAGCAAGTGACCTGCAGTGTCTTCTGCAAATTGAGGATATAGTAGTACCTGCTTCCTAGGGCTGTTCTGGGGACTAAGTGAACTCTATGTATAAAGCACTCTGAATGTTGCTGGTTACACAGCAAGCATGCAATAAATCTTTTTAAAGCCTTTCTGAGCTTCCTTCGCCGCATCTGTAAAGCGGGGAGGATGGCTGCTGGTGGCGGGGCTGCTGTGAGGGCTGGCGAGAAGCACGGCAAGTGCCTGCAGCAGAGCGGGTGGCCTCAGTGTGCGAGGAAAGGAAGGGAGGAGCGCGTGCACCAGGTGTCTGACCACTGACTCAGCGTCCCTGTCCTGGTGGGGTCAATCACTCCTTTGCCAGCTTGGGGTTGTGGCTCGTCTACATCACTTGCAGCAGGATTTCTCAGACTGTCATTTATGACTCGCTAGAGGCTCGTGAGGAAGGAAAACCACCCTAATGCATTACAAAGTATTGTTTTATGAATGCATGTGTATGCTGGTTTCTGTGTAAAATGCGTGCATTTCTTACTGTGGTTTGAAGTTAAAAGCTGGAGACACCTAACCCACTGTCTCTGGGCAGGGGCAGGAGTGGGGTGTGGGGCTCCCTAGCTTTGCCTTGCTCCTCCTCTGCTCCACAATGAAGTCTGCATTGAGTGCCCATGTGTGCTGTCCTAGAGGGACTGGGTCTCCAAATGGGAGGACTCAGATCCAGCTGGAGGCACATCCCTTTCTGCCCCAACAACCCTCTGAAGTCCCCCCTCCTCACCATTTGCATGGATAAAGTCCAAGCTTGGCATCTCAGGTGCTTTGCCCTCCAGGAGTGACTTGCAGGGTAGAGAGTGGTGCTGGACATGTAGGTGGACAAGGGAAAGCCTCCCAGGCTTGCCTCTCCTCTGGGCCTGGGCCAAGCTGTCCCTGAACCTTGCTCCTTCCTCCACAACCCTGAACACTTAGCCAGCTAGCCCCATGGGTGGAGTGTGGGCATCAGAAAATGCTTCCCACAAAAGCAGAACAGTGGGGGGACCCTGAAGAAATCCCAGCGGATAGTCTCTTCTCCTTTCTCTCAGCACACCAGCCGCACCCTTGGCCTGGGTCTTCCCGAGAGCCAGTGATGGGCTGGAGGTGAGGGGTGCTGTGGCCTCATCACAGAACTGGCTACCAGGTACTGAGTGATGACCGCGGCAGCACAGCACAGGCTAGTTTACATGCACCAGCTCCAGTCTTTATCACCCTCCTAATGTGTTCCTCTTATTATGTCCCCTCCACAGATAGTGAAATCAAGGTCCAGAGCAGTTAAGTTCACACAATTAGTAAGTGCTGTAGCCAAATTTCAATCCAAGGCCAGTGTCTCCCTACATCCAACTGTGGCCTCTGAGGGAAAGACCTGTGAGTGTTGGCGAGGCCACTCTCCTGGCCTTGGAAGAGTTTGCAGTACTGCAAAGGGAGAAGCTTCCCTTTGAGGAGAAGCTGGCCTCTTCCAGCTACATCCAGAGATTCCTGTCCCAATATGATCTCATCTGGGGCCTCCCTGACAACCAAGGGAAGAAATTGAACATGGGGAGAATCTTCTCACTGTAGGGAGTCTCATCAGTGAGATTGCTTGATTATCAAGAGGAAAAAATTGCGGTAAGAGAGATGTGACTTAGATTCCAGAGTGTTCCTTGGCACTCCTTAAGGGCAGGGACTAATCTAGCAAAATGGGCTTAATCAACACTGGGGACTCTTACCATTAGCAATAACTGTAGAAGGTACTTTGTGAGAACATTCATAAAGTATCATATTAATAGGCAAATGAACACAGGATAACTTTGGGACGCGGAGTAGCCGGAGGTAAGAGTTGGGTGGGGTTGTCCAGGGAAGGCTTCTGAGAGCAGGGGAGTAGGAATGGGTTGGGGAGGAACAAGGCTTTCTTGAGGTGGGAGCAGGCGGGAGGAGCAGAAGGCATCTGGCACCCCAGCAGCATCATTCTGGAACCAGCCAGTCCCCAGGAGCCCCACCCCAGACACCCAACTCAGTGACCTGGTACCCTGGGAATTTGCCCTGCATCCTGGGTGGAGATTGTCCAGCCAAATGCCTGCCCAGCCCATTTGGTGACACTTGAAAATGATATGGAAATGCGATGTGGTCTTGAGGTGGGTCCTCCTCTCCAGGATTTTGGCCCAGTTTTGGCCTGCACCCATCCAAGTGTTTTCTTTGTGGAATGTTGGGCAGAGAGATGAGGGAGGACTGAAGCTTCCCCTGAGGTGGTGCTGACAGAGATTCTGGAAAGTGGAGCAGGGATACTAATAAGGCCAGCTGCTTTGCTCCTGGGGGTCAGGGTGCCAATCCAGAGGACAGCGTGCCCAGTCAGCCTGCTTCTATGCTTGGCTGCTTCTGTGGTTGGAGCCCAAGCCTAGGCCTGGAGCAGTGGAGAGAAAGCTCAGATTCATGGAGTTTCTGAGCTGGAGGGAACTTTACCCGCTTCCTTTACAAAGGAGGACATGGAGGCCAGGGTGGGGAGGGTGGATAGTGTGTGCGTGTGCGTGCGTGCGTGTGTGTGTGCGTGCGCGCGTGTGCGTGCGTGCGTGCGTGTGTGTGTGTGTAGGGCCCAACATATGAGGGACAGATGCTGCCTAGTTTTCCAGGAGTTGCCTGCAGGGTGGGGGGAGCCTGCACATCCCAGGTCCAAGGCTGGGGAGCAGCAGGTGCACCTTGGGCACAAGCATGGGGGCAATGATTTGGGGAGAGATGGGCAGAGCCCAGGCAGCTCCCTGTAAGGGGGTGCACCATGAAGCAGGGCTGGAGAGCTGCAAGGGGTGGTGGGGGGCTCCCTGGTGGGAAGAGGGAAGCCCGTGTGTCTGGCCATGCTGAAGCTGAAGCCTGAGCTGAGAGAGTGAGGTGAGAGGCAGAGAGAGTTCCCTGTGGGCAAAGCTCCAGGCCATGCTGAGGCCTTGGTCTGTAAATCAGGATGCAGGTGACTCCTTGCCCCTGGAGTTGCCAGCAGCTCACCCTGTGCTGGGTTCCAGAAGCTACAGCCTGTTTAACCAGGGCTTGGCAGAGGGGTCTGTTAACCCCCATGGTGGATTTGGATGTACACGGAGGGGATTGTGTGGGGAGGGGCACCCAGGAGTTGGCTGGGGAAGAAGTTGAGAGTCAAGGTATGGGAGAACTTTGGGGTTAGGGTTGACAACTGTCTGTCCTACCTCTGGGGACGCCCAGAAACTGGGACAGAGGCATCTATTTGGGGATTCATAGTCACTTTATAACTGGCATTTAGGTGCATGCCTGCAGCAGCCTCAGGAATGACAGCGTTTGGCCATCCATCTCCCGCCCAGCAAACTCTCTGTGCTTTAAAACAAGGGCATCCTGTTCAGGGTCAGCAGAAAGAGACGTGAAGGAGAGACTGACCCAGGGAAAAAGAAAGAGCATCCCCTCCCACACCCTTCATCTTTTGGGGAGATGGGGCAGTGGGAGTGGGGCTACTGTGGAGCGTGAAAGGGCCTGGGAGGAGGAGAAGAGACAGTGAGTCGCTAGCTAAAGGCCACACACGGAGGCCACAGGAACCTTGTATCTGAGCCTCATGGGGATGGCTCTGTTACTGGCTCTCAGCAGCCTTTTCACTTCTCATTTTTGGGCTCCGTGCCCAGGCCCTGCTGTCAGTACCTGCTTCCTGAGCCAGTGCCTGGCAAACGCAGCTATGAGATCATGGGGCGGGGTAAGTTGGCAGGCCCCCGATCTCCCCTGGAGCCGTGGCAGGTGCATGTCAGAGTCCTGGGCCTGGCGCCTTCGTAATCTCCCTCCTGGCCCCATCCCCTTGCAGGGAGGTGGCTCCTCCAACCTGCCGCTTCAGCCTCCTCCACCTTGATTTCAGACTCCAGTAAAGGTGGGACATTGGCTCATGCCACGGGAAGAAGGCTTGAGATTAGATTTGAAGAAGGACTCTCAAAAGATGGGCTGGTGGGATAAAGGCAGGAGGGAGTTAAAATGAAGGACAAATATTAATAAGTATAGCACTGGTCACTGAGGGCTTATTCCGTGTCCTGCTCCGTGCCAAGGGCTTTGCAGGCAGTTCTCATGTAATCTTCACCATGACCTTGTAGAACACAGAAACTCAGGCCAAGCTTTCACAGCCAGGAAGCAGAGCAGCTGGTACCCCTGCAGAGCTTCTAGCCCTGGGATAAATCTTGAGCATCTGGTGAGGTTGGCCACTGGAGGACCATGTGGGCTCCCAAGTACTCTCTTGTTCCTTCATTTAGTGTTTAGTGGTGAATAAGACAGGGTTCTTGAGGGCAGAGCTAGAGGTCAAACAGGCAGGAGAGGTGAGAGCTGGGTTCACGTTCCCGAGGGTGGAAGTCGGCCAGGCAGAGGAGGTGGGCCTGTTTCTGTCTGGCACCTCTTGAGTCAGGAGGGAGCAAGCTCATCAGAACGGCAAGAGGGAGCAGGTGAGACAGCAGGACATCCTGGCTTCCAGGGCTGCTTGTCACTGGCAGGTGGAGGTGTGTTTCCTGGAGAGGGAGAGCAAGTTGAAGGGCTCAGTCTGCAAGTGGGGGGTGAATGGCCCCAGTTGGGGGTCTTTGTGCAGGCTTGTGTGTGTGTGCCTGTAGCCACATATGTATGTCCACAGTCTCTAGTGATGCCTCTTCTGCCTCCGGTGGCTCTGAGCTCTCCCAGGCCCCTGAGGGAGGATTGTCCCCTTTGCTGATGGTCTGGAATGTACTTTATAGTTGGGTGCAGTGCTGTCTTGATTGGGGACCATTCTTCTTCCTCAAATGTCCTCCAATTTGGCAGACCACTCATCTCAGTCCTGAAGCCCCACCCTTACTTCCAGGAAGTTTTCTCTGATTCTTCTCCTTTCCCTGAGGATGAGCTGGGATCTAGGATTTTAGCTAGTGGGGGCATATCCTATTCCTTTCCCCGTGAGCCCACAATTCCACCTTGATTCATTCGCCCCTAGGTTCCAGCTTGCACAGGACTGGGCCCTCTGTAGTGAGCTCACATATGCTTATAGCACAGATACATGGAGAGGAGGGACGCACGACGGCTCCTGGTGTATAACTGAGGCCAATGCTCAGGCGTTCTTTGTCAGGTGCCATGTTGGCTGCTGGCCCCTGTCTGCCCTGGTGTCCAAGCCTGTCCTGTATGTCAGGGGTCAGGGGTCAGATTCTGTGTTTCAAGGCCCAGTAGCAACACACAATCAGAGTCCTATCATGTCAGGGCTGGGTGGGACCCCAGAGACAATCTAGGCTCATCTATCCTTCATTTATGAACGAGGAATCCCCCAGAGAGAGAAGAGCCTTGCCCAAAATCACACAGCAAATTGGGGGACACTTGACCCGATCTCTTGACCCCCACTGCATGGCAATTTCCACAATGTCACGTTGTCTCCCTAATTTTGACAAGCCTCTTTCTCCCCCTCCCTCTCTTTTCTCCGGTCTCCATACTTTTCTCATGCTTTCCCGTCTCAAATATGCCCATCTGAACACTGCCCACTTTTCAGGGCCTAGCCTGGTCCTCCCCTACTCTGGAACCCACCTGATTTCTCTCCCCTAACTTCTTGGCCACCCTTAGCAGCATGTGCTGCTAATTCCCCTTACCTAATTGTGTGTAACACAAATTAGTGCTTTATTGCTTGAAGCTCTAATGACCTGGGTTCTAACCAGGCTCAATCGCCTCCTAGCTGCATGGCCTTGAGCTAGTTACTTAACATTCTTAATCCTCTGTTTTCTCTTCTGTAAAATGGGGCATGCTTTTGAGCCTGAGTGAACAGCAGAAGCTAAGGCTTCAAGGGGTGAGCTTGGAAAACATCAAGGTGGGAATCTAAGGTATGGTGGGTCTGGGTGGGAACGATGGTGGAAAGGTGGGCAGGTGCTGGATCATGGGGGAGCCTCAGTTGGAAGAGGTTATGATATTGGCAGTTGGGAGCCCTTGAGGCTTCTTTGGAAGGGAAGTAACAAACCTCTGCCTAGAGTTTGGGGTGGCCATGAAGTGGGGTGGAAAGGGCATGGGTTTTGGAGCTGGCAGGTCTGGATTTGAATTCCAACTCTACCACTGGCTATGTGTGACGCTGCACAAATTGCTAAATCTCTCTGAGCCTTTCTTTTTGGCCTGTAAAATCAGGATTATACCTACTCCACAGAGTTGTGGCAAGGATTAAGTGAGGAAAACCTCGATAAATTGCTTGGCTTGGAGTCTGCTTTTAGCAAGTGCATAACGAGGAGTAGCCATTAGCACTGTTGCAGTTGTCGCCAGCCAGCACGGCACGTCTGCCTGCATCCTGCCTGACTTTGTTCCTGTGTCTACCTGTGCCTTGGGCATCAGGCTCATTCCTCATTTCCAGCCTGGAAACTTCCCAAGACAGGGTGCACAGGCATCACCTTCTTGCTCTAGCTGCTTTAGGAAGGGAAGGGAGCTGGGAAAACTGTTGAGAAGAGCTGATGCCACCCTTTGGGGCCTCTGGGTGGCTCTGCAAGAAGCTCGGGGAGCCCAGTAGCAACACAGTGTGCACCCACCTCTCCTGCTGGCTATCTAGCAGCTCTCCTAGGGATAGTCCTTGTGGCCTCAGTCTCTGCATGGGACTGCCACTGCTCGTGAAACCCTCGGAAGGGCAGGCCAGCACCCAGACAGGAAGCACTGGGGTCAGGGGATGAAGGGCAACTGACTGCCAGCTACCCCCACCTGCAACTGAATGTCTCCTAGGCCCGCACTGATGGAGAGTGCAGCCAGACACATACCACCAATGAGATAGAGTCTAATAATTATTAGACAACATTTATAAAATACCTGCTAGGTCTTGATCAGTGTGCTAAGTGCTGAGGGTTTGGCAAATATTGACTGGGTCCCTGCCTGCAGAGAGGTTATAGCTTAGAAGGGGACTGAGAGAAGCACTCAGAGGGTGATATGCAGGAAGGGGGAATCATGGGGGCTATGGGGGCACTGAGGACTGCACTTGGCCCACTCAGAATGGTGGGGGTGGGGTCAGGCTGAGCTCTGCAGGCTGAGCCAGGGGACTTGAAAGCACTCGTGCGGTCGGAGAGCAGACTAGGGCACTGGGGGTGTCCGGTCGGAGAGCAGACTAGGGCACTGGGGGTGTCAGGTGGGGGGCACTGGCTGGAGATGAAGCCAGAAAAGTATGCGGGAATCTTGAATGCCACACTGAGGAGTGCGTACACCATCTCAAGGGAAGTTGGGAGCCATTGGAGGGTTTTAAGCAGGAGGAAATGTGGTCAGATGCAGGGGCTGCAGCACTGAGGGAATGGGAAGGATGGGTGGTCTGCCTTCAGGTTTCGTGGGGAGGGGAGTGATGAGGCAGTGGCCTGCTCCTGGGGAGGGGAGGGAAGGGTAGGCCCCAAGGCTAGGAGGACAAGGAAGATTGGTCACAATTTAGGCATAAAGGGGTGAAAATCCTGGGGCTTGCCCAGCTCTGGAAGTCTCCAACTCTTCGCGTTTTACTCTACTCTCCTGACTCCACAGAGCCCTAAATGGGAGGAAATTGGTTCCACATGCAGCAGAGCAGGAGGGATTTAGGGAACAGGAACCTCAGCTCTGTCTCAGGGGTCCCAGCTTTCTCCACATTTTGGGGGAGCTGCTGGGCCAGTGGGGAATGAGAACTGTTCACTTCCCAGTGCCTCTCAGCCTTTCCCTACCTGCTGTCCTGGGGCACCTTTGCTTGCCACCTGAGTCTTGTTGGAAGTTGTCCGTGTGTGGATGTTAGGCAGGTGGCTTGTCAGGACTGACCAAGGACTGACTGAGGTGGAGTATGTCCCCCCAACCCCCAGAAGATTGCTGCAAGTGGGGGTTGCTGGAGGGTGGTCCTACCAGCCCCGAGAGAGGAGAAAGTGAGTCTCCACCACCCCTGGTGGGTCCCTGCTCCTGGAAGAGGTGCCCTGGCAGGTTCATCTGCTCCGTCTCCACACATGCCTTCTGCGTGCAGGTAGGTGGAGCCCTGCCTGCTGGGTCTCCCAATCCGGAGATCCTTAGATCCTGGGTCTAGAGAAGGAAGGAGCACAGGAAAGCAGAGGCCTGGCCCTGTGTGTCCTGACTGGGGGTGATGGGGCTGGCAGGACAGGGAGGCGGGAGGGCCGGGGTGCAGCGTGTGCCTATGTCATGCCCAAGGGGCTCTGCCCTTCACGCCACCTCCCTCCCCTGACTGGCCCCTCTTCTCCCTCCCTCTCCGTTCTCTTCTTCCCTCTCGTCTCTCACTTCCCTCGTGGCATCACCCTTCCTGTCTCCCTCCCCGACTCCTTTGCCCTGTTTCCTTGGTCTTCCCCAGGACCCTCCCATCTTCCCTTTCCCATCTCTTCCTTCCACCCTCTGGTTCTCTTCCACTCACTTGCCCCCACTCAGGGTCCTCCCTCCCTGCCTTCAAACTGCCCCTTCTCCCCTCTTGGAGCCCCTGCACGTCTGGGCAGGAGGCCATTCCACACCCTGCAGGGAGTCTGGGGCAACCAGGATGTCCCTCTCCTCCCTCCTCAAGGCTGGCTGGGTCCCAGCCCACAGGGGCCCCACGGTGCCACCTGGCCGGCTGCCTCTGGCCGCCTGCCCTTCTAGTCCACGGCTGGGGCTGCGGACCCAACAGCGGCCCCCAGAGGTGGGCCTTGGGATTGCAGATTCCTTCCAGCCACAGTCCCCTTCCTGCTTGTACTCCTATTCTCATCGCTGGCGTCCTGAAGGTCCCCCTTATGCCTAGGGATGTGCATGAGTGTGTGAATGCTGTGCAGACACTTGGGCATAGTATGTCATTCATGCATGCATGTGTGCGTCTGCTGTGGGTGTGTGATCTGAGTGTGTACATCTGCATGGATGTTTGTGCCTATGTCTCTGTGTGTCCAGTGTACACATGAGTGTGCATGTGTGTGAATGTAATGCGGGCTCCTGCAGGCCTTGTACAGCTGTGAGTGTGTACATTGGGGAGCACGTGTGATAGCACAAAGGCACATATTTCTGCAGGTACTTGAAGGAACTTGAGGGTCGTGTCAAATGTGGGCTCATCTGTGCCTGGGGACACCAGTGAGCATGGAAGAGGCATGAAGACACGTGGGTATGTGTGAGGGAGTACGGGGGATAAGCGCTTGCACAGGGGTGCTCACGGCATGCACCTGTGTGTCTGAGAGGCCTGGCTGCCTGTGTGAGTTAAGTTGATGTGCACTCGTGCGTTTTCATGGCATGTGTGAGGGGTATGAGACCCCAGGAGGGTGACCATTTGGGTCTGTGGTTCCATAAAGGCAAGTGTGAACAGCAAGGAGGGCCCAAGGAACCTTTCTGTGAGTACCTGTGGATACACATCCTCCTAGGCCAGGGGTGTGGCTGGGCTGAAAGGGGAAGTATTTAGTGACTAATAAGCTTTTAAAGAAATGCCTCCGCCCCCAATACAAGTCCCCCGCATCACTCAGGCTGACACCAGCCAGGAGCCTGAAACCACAGGAAGAGAGGAGATTGTATTGCTCCTGCTGCCCCTCCCCACCTGCTGTGGGGATGAGGCCAGGGGACAGCAAGGACACTTCTCACGAAGCACCTGCTGGGTGCAGGGGTGTGCTGCCAAACTGATAGGCCATCCAAACCAGACCCCTTCCTCTGCCGTTGAGGCCATGCCAGCCCCACCACTTTGCTTAGATGGGGTTGCATGGCATAGGGACACCTGTCTCTGCCTCAGCAGACCTGGGTCCAGGTGCCCCTTTCCCAGCCAAGCCTGGCTCCTTCAGGAAAGCGGGGTGGGCCTCCTCTAGGCTGCCCTCTGGGACTGAGCAGCCACGAAGCAGAGGGGAAGAAGCCCTCAATGAATGTTAGTTGGAGGAATGAATGAACAAATGGCGATTCCTAGGGCAGTGCCCCAGGCAGTGCACTGAGGGTGAGTGGATGGCTGTGCCTAGTGCTGGGAGACTGGCCTCTGACTTCATCTCTGCCTGATCCTCTCTGAGCCTCACTTTCCTCCTTTCTAGGAAAGGGCAGAAACCCACCACAGGGTCGTTGTGCCAATGAAATGTACAGTGTGTCTGATGCCTGGCATGTGGTAGGTGCTCAGGAAATGACAGGCGTCTCCCCTCCGAGAGCAGATGGCTGCCCTGAGCCCCTTCCATAGCAATCCCTGGACCCGCCATGAGTCAGCTATGGCTGGGCAGCGGAAATCCTCAAGTTCCCAGTCTGGAAGCATGAGTCAGGGACAGGCTGGGGAGGAGGGAGGTCACACTGGGGTCAGATGCTAGACCCAGGCAGGAGCAGACGCGTGCCTGGCTGCCACCTTATCATGATGCCCATTGCCAGTAACTGAATCTCAGGAGCTGGGAAGGCAAGGCCCTGGGGCTGAACTGAATACCCCTGCCCTGTGGGCCAGACATGCTGTTGACATGGGCTCTGTGATGTGTAGATCCTTTTCAGATAGAACAGCCTGGAAAGGGCCCCAGGCAAGCCCTGGATAGCATTGCTTTCATAGCTGCTGCTGGGGCCAGCAGCTCCAGCCTTAGGGCTGGGCCCAGCCTGGGGACTCCCTTAGCTCCCTTAGAGCTCCTGAATCCAGCTCGACAGGCCCACAGCCCCATCTCTGATTTCCTGAGAGCCTTTACTCTTTATCTAGATCTGGCAGTCTCCAGTCAAGATGCAGATGTGCTTTCCATCAGGCTTTGGTGAACATCTGAGGAGTAGAAATTTCTACTTTTAACCCTCTCCTGCACCCCTGACTCTGAGCAAGGGTCTGTTGTCCCATGGCTGCAAAGCGTGACCATTCAGTATAACAGACAGTGCCTGTGAGTGGGAGTGGGGTAAGCTGGAGATGAGCATCTTCGTGCCTTGTGATGGTCAGTATTGTAGCCATACCCTACATATCTCCAATGCCCACTTCTTATCTCTAAGAGCCATTGTTTAGGCTGAAAATGGAGGGAGGTGCTGTGGTGATAGGCTTATCTCTTTGCCTCCCAGATATGCAGAAGAAGGCAATTAAAACACCCCCACACACATACACACAGAAACAAAGCATTCCTTGAGCAGCTGTTGTGGACTATCCCTTATTAGGCACTGAGAGGGAGCGGATAAAAAAGTATGGCAGGAGTTTGAATTTGCACAGCCCTTACCTTATAGCAACTCACAGTTGCACGGAAGAGATACTTACCAAAAGACATTGAATTCTTATCCATTCTTGAAATTTGCAGAACTCTCTCAGGGAAAATATCAAATCTGTTAAGATATGTAAAAAGTGAAGCAGCAGCTTTGCTGGTGGGAAGAACAAACCTTGGTGACTGGCCACTGGACACGGTTCTATGGCAGCATTTCCCTGGTTGCACTTGTGCTGCACCCGCCGGGCCCCTGTCTGCTCCTGCTGGGGAAACAGCACAAGGGAAATGGTATGGAGGTCCCAGGACAACAGGGTTTGGTGACTTAAATAAAATAAATAAATGCATATTTATTATCTACATAATATGTCAATATCAGAAACCAAAGTCTCTCCTCTCTTTGTTATCTCTCCCTCTCTTTCCCAGGCTCCTCCTTCTCTGAGCCTTCAGGGCCTGATGGGAAGGTCTTGGTCCTAATGGAAGTGGAAAGAATCCTGGTTTCCTTCTTCTCTTACCCTAAGCCCCTGCGGCCATAAGCTCCTGACCTTCTCCTTGAGCAATTGGTGCTGAGGTTCCTTGCTTAAGCCTTGGCCCTTAGCTCTCAGTCCAGCCTTCCCCTGCTCAGCCTTGGGTCTAAACTCCCGGATGGTGTTTGCCCAGCCCACGCCTGGCAGTCTGTCTCTGACAGTCAGGATGAACAGGTTTGGCTGCCTGAGCTGGCTGCAGCTTTTGTTTTTAGTGAAATAAAGGAAGAGTCAGAGCTTCTGGCCACAGCCAAAATAAACTTTTTTTTTTCCCTTTTGAAATCATTTTTAACATGAAAAAGTTGCAAGAATCGTACAAAGAACTTTTTTTTCCTGAACCATTTTGGAATAAGTTGCTGACCTGACAGCCCTGAACCACCCAAATACTTTAATGTATATTTCCTACAAAAGAGAACATTCTTTCTCTTATATAACCACAATATAGCCATTAAAATCAGGATTTTAATATTGGTATGTAACTCCCATCTAATTCTCAGATCCTATTCAAGTTTTACCATTTGTCCCAATAATGTCCTTTATAGCAAAAGATTCTGTTCAGAGTCATGTGTTTTTGCATTTGGTTGGCATGTCTTTTTATTTTATTTATTTATTTTTTAAAAGACAACCGGTAAAGGGATCTTAACCCTTGACTTGGTGTTGTCTGCACCATGCTCACCCAGTGAGCTAACCAGCCATCCCTACGTAGGGATCTGAACCTGCGGCCTTGGTGTTATCAGCACCGCACTCTCCCGAGTGAGCCACGGGCTGGCCCTTGGCATGTCTTTTTAGTCTTTTATATGAAACAGTTCCTCAGTCTTGATTTTCATGACCCTGACACTTTTGAGGAAGTCTGCTGTTTCGTCGGGATTAGATTCTGGCTATGCATTTTTCGTAGGAACATCACAGAAGCAATGTTGTGTTCTTCCTATGGCATCCTGTCAGTCAGTGCATGATTTCAGTGTGTCCCATTACTGGTGATGTTAACTTTGATCACTTGATTAAGAAGGTGTCTGCCAGGTTTCTCCACTGTAAATTACTTTTTTCCTCTTTGTAATTAAAAAGCACTTTGTGGAGAGATACTTTGAGAGTATTTAAATATCTTGATCCTCATCAAGCTTCCTCCCACGAGTTTTCCTTGGTGTTTCCTGGCTTGATTATTACTATGATAGTTGCCAAATTCATTATTACTTCTACATTTATTAGTTGGCATCTTCTGTATGAAAAAACTTTCTCTTCTCTATATTTATTTATATTAATGTATACTAAGGAATTCCTATTTTACTTATTATCTATTTTTATTTTATTTGTTTTGATGCCCAAGTTCTCCCAGGTTGGGTCAGGGGGACTCCCTTCCAGCTGGCTTCTGTGTCCTTTTGAGATATCCCCTCCTTTCTTTAACTGCTTCCTAACTTTCTAGAACAAGGTGTTCCTGGCTCATCTTATGCTCTTCCTGTCCGAGCCCTGGAATTAGCCATTTCTCTAAGGAACATTAGTTTCTTTAGCAGGGGGTGGTATATAGAAGCCGAGATCTGGGTACTCACTGCTCACTGCTTTTGAGATTTTGTCAGTGATTCTTGGACTCTTGAGTCAGGAAAAGGACATTGCCTTCAGGCTTTAACATTCTAAACCAGTGATTCCAAAACCTGTTCAGGTGGTGGACAACATGGAAATAATGAGACTTTTAGTGGAAAAATGTGATATATTGATTGCATCAATAGTATTTAATAGGGAATAAAATCATCAGTGGAGAGAGAGAGGGAATATGAGTATATGTATATGTCTGTATATGTGTATATGTGTTTATGTATATATGCACACAAACAACTTAGATCTGTATATATTTTTATCTACCTGTCTGTCTGTCTGTCTATTTTGCAGGCCATGAGTCCACACTGATACCTCCAATACCAAGCCCAATATCTCATGGTTCATTCAGTTTTCTCCCTTTCTATACTTGTAAATCCTTCTCCTACAGTGAGAAACCTGTCTTTCATCATAGCTGTATGTATAACCAGTCTCCCCTTGCAGCCACCGCCAACAGCACAGCTGCCCTCTTCTGTGCTAGGACAAACAGCCTCCTCCACTGCTGCTCTGGCATGGATGCCTGCTTTTCTTGGCCACATTTAACAGCTTTGGGACTGAATTATTCAGGAAGGCAGGCAGTCAACAATTTGGACTCTGCTGGCCAATGAATCATTCATTACTTTTCCTGATCTTCGGAATGATTTGCTCAAAACTTGTCCTTAAAAATGACCTATGTTTTGCCGTTATTAAAGTACTAAACTACATGATTAGTATTTGTAAAGGAAATCTGTTTCTCTACTGACAACACTTCTGACACCAAATGTGTGGGTTTTCTACACCAAGCAATTCTCCAGTTCTCTGTGAACACTAACTGGGTGTCCTACGATTTAATTCAATTCTGACACTAACTACCTGGAGTCAACGGAGAGTCTGCAAGTAAGGGCTCAGTCCCACAAGATTGCATCCACTTCAGATGCCAATCACAGGTATCCAGCACCCAGGGTATCCACACTTCTGTCAGACCTGGCTACAAGTTGTGAGGCTCCTACAACCTCTTCCTGAAGTTTGATAATTTGCTGTAATGGCTCAAACAATTCAGAGAAACACTTTACTTAAGTTTACTGGTTTATAATAAAGCATATTATAAAAGCTACAAGTGGAAGCCAATACATAGGGTGAGGTCTGGAAGGGTACTGAGCTCAAGAGCTTCTGTCCCTGTGGAGCTGGGATGTGCCACCTTTCAGGCATGCGGATGCATTCACCAATATAGAAGCTCTCTTAACCTCGTAGTTTAGGGATTTTTATGGAGGCTTCATCACATGGGCATGATTAATTATTAACTCATTCTCTAGCCCCTCTCCCCTCCTGGAGGAGGAGGGGTTGTGCTGGAAGTTCCAAGCTTCTAGCCATGGCTTGGTCTTTCCATTGATCTCCACCATGCTGAGGCTATCCAGGAGCCCACCAGGAGTCACCTCATTAGAACAAAAGATGCTCTCATCACCATGAAATTCCGAGGGATTTAGGAGCTATCTGTCAGGAAATGATGTCAAAGACTAATATTGGGACAAAAGATGCTCCTAGCACCCTATCATTCAGAAAATTACAAGGGTTTAGGAACTCTGTGTCAGGAACTGGGGTCAGAGACAAAATATATATGAGTGTACTTCAAAAATTTTGTGGAAAAATAGAATTAAAAGATATGAGTCTTTTCATGATTCTTTTAAGCATAATCATAAGTGCGAGGTTGCTACATCTTTCCATTCTGCACGTTTGCTTAAGACAATAAAAAACATCCACTACTTACGAAATACCTAGCAGGTGCCAGGCTCTGTACAGATTGTTTCCTCTTTCTCATTTAATCCTTAACATAATCCTGCAAAGTAGGTATTTTCCTGATATTAGAGATAAAGAAACCGAGGTTCAGGGAGTTTCAGTTACACTTCTAGTAAGTGGTAGAGCTAGGATTAGAACCCAGGTATCTTTGACTCTGAAATCTGTCTTCTATCTGTTATGATATCCAGTTTCCTCAAAACTAAGTATTTTTTTCATAGTACAACACTATTTCCATAAATCTTATTTTATTATTTATTTATTTATTTTCCTTTTTGTCTTTTTTCGTGTCTGGCAACGGATCGCAACCCTCAGTGTCACGCCCGTACCGGACCAGGACCAGCAACGGGATCGCAACCCTCGGTGCTGCGCCCACACCTCGCTCAGCCAGTGAGCGGGAACCGGTCTGTATGTGGGATCCGAACCCTTGGTGGGAGCGCCACCACGCTCCCAAGCGGTGCACTATCCAGTGCGCCACCGGGCCGGCCCCATAAATCTTATTTTAAATAGATGGTTAGAACGTGGTGTTGTAACACCTAGGTCAAGGGTTCAGATCCCTGTACTGGCCAGCCGCCAAGAAAAAAAAAAAAAGCAGACATATTATACTAATGAGGGACTGTTTCATAACTTACTCAATGACTCCCCTATTGTAGAACATGTGGGTTGCTTTCTCTCTCTCTCTGTTAATATATAAACAATACCACAATGAACATCTTCGCGATATTGTTTTTTACCACATTGTTTCTCTAAAACTTGTCCTAATGTGAATGCCAGGCTCAGACCATAATGGCATATTATTATTTTAAAAAACAGTTGATTTTTTTTAGGCAAAAAGTATCTTGATTTAATTAGCATATATTTGAATACAAGTTTGGTTTTATTCAAGAAGCATTTAGGGGGTACCTGCTGTATACCAGGAAGATGGCAGGTATGGAAGATACAAAGGTACTGTACAACTCAATCAGAAAGCCCAAACCAGGGCATCTCTCATGAATTGAACCCATGACTAAGCTGATTGTTGCAGGGGCTGTGCCAGAGAAGCCCTTGCCCAAGGCTGAAAGGTGGTATGGGTGCAAGTGCCCAGACAACGGGTTGGTTTGGTCAGCTCAGGAAAAACGTGATGTGGACTAGATGGGATTGCCAGTGGATAAGTGTGACAGTTAAGTTATGGTCTCTTAGCTCCAAGCACACTTACAGACTGCTTTGTGGTGCTGGGGTTGGAACTCTGTAAGCCGGCTCCCTTCAGGATCTGCAGATAGGGGGCGCCAGAGGGAGGCTGTAAGGTGTTCGCTTTCTGTGGGCTCCAGGTCTGCTTCCTGTTCTCCTGAGCTTGGCGCCAACAGCGTCTGCACCCCGGCATCCTGTTGGCAGTTTTCCTTGCACTTGTAGAATCAGCTCCGTTGAGCCTTCCCGTTCAGAGACACCTGCCAGCGCCTGCCAGCCGGTGTCCCTGCCTCGGAGGTCTGGGTCCCAGGCTCACAGGGCTCTGCTTTTGAGTACCAGACAAGCAGCGCCACCTCCTCAGAGGTCTCAGTTCCAGGAGACCCCCCTCTAAGTTTCTAAGTTTTAATAATCTCGACTGTCACCTCTCCCAGGGTGACGGAGACGCAAAGGATTACTCAAAGCCCATTTCTCCAGAGCAGTGAGAGGCCGAGAAGGGGTTAATTCCAGAAGCAAATTCTTCAAGCGAGAATTCCTCTGAAAATAACCCCGAATAAGGTTTTCTCTCCGTTTTTATTCTCCCCGCAAGAAAGTTACAGAAAGGGAACATAGGTGGTTACAAAAAGAACAATGAGATATTCGTCCTGGCAACAATCATTAGGATTAGCTGCATCAAGGACGACTGTCCTAATAGCAAGCATTTTTGCTGTGTTACAATTTTTTTAAATCTACAACAGGGACTTTAATCCTGGGAAAGTTTTCTGTTTTTGCCAAGCTTAGCATTTGCACGTGTTAGGCCCTGTGAAGCACATTTGTTTTATTAATGTTGGTATCCTCCAGGCTCTTCCCTCTGCCCTTTGTTCCCTCAGCCCTGGTGATGGTGGCTGCTTGGGTTGGGTCTGTGATGTCTTAGAGTTCTCGTTTTACCCTTTCACGTACACAGTTAGCAACTCTTTACCTAGTTAATAGCGCTTGATGTTAATTCTCTCTGTTCAAGTAACTGGTGTGGATGTTGTTTCCTTATTGGAAACTGAATGATAAAGGGCAGACCCTAAGCCCCTGAGATACTGAGGACCTTGTGGTACCCTCGTGCTTTCTTTTTATTTCACAGTGTACACAGAGACGTGAGGAAGAGCCAGCTCCCTGGTCGGGGGGGTGGGTCTGTGGCTGCTGCATTGTTGGCTGAGAGAAAGCAGCCTGTTCCAGAGCACTCTGGGTCTTTCTTGTCAGGTCTCAAATAGGAAGTGTATGGCTGGGCTGAGGGATCACTGGCTGGAGAAATTCCATCTAGAATGTTTGGCAGCTGTATGTTTCGTGAAGTGAAGGCCATCTCCGGGAGATGGAAGTCCATTTAAAAAAGTCATTTTTGATATATGCACACAAATATTTTGTCTGTTTGATGCATTGAATGACCCCATTTGACAAATATTAATAAACACCTAATGAAGATAAGATGCTGTGCTAGACAGTGGGGATATGGAGATAGAATTGACAGTCCTTACCCCAAAAGATCCTACTATTTGAGGGAGACACTAAAAAATAATAAATGTTGTGTTCAATCTGCCATCGTTAACTGGAAGTCGTCAGAAATAAATGATGACTTCCAGTTAACTGTAGTAGATTGAACACACATATTTAACCTGGATCCCTTCTGAAACTTACTAAAATTTCAGTGAAGGTTGTTTATTTATTTATTTAATACAAATACAGTCAGTCAGTTGTTTTGAAAATGGGAATTGGTTTCAACACGATTAATACATTATGCAAGGATTTTAGCATAATGTGAATTTCACACATCTCATAATGTGACTGTATTTGCCTATGCAGAGTTTTGTCTGTGAGGAACACTGGTGAATGCAGAAAAGTACACCAGCCTAACTGATGTGGAACGCACAAAACACACATATCTCAAACATATACCAGCTACCTCAATTCACTACGCACATCCACCCACATCAGGTGTTAAAACCTTCTGTTATTGGATTTCAGGAAACCCTCCTTCCACTTCACAATAACTCACAAGCTGCAACCCTTCCGATGACCGCTTCCACAAGCAAACTTCATTTTTTCAAGGTAAAATGTCTTATTTATTGTAGTAGTTATGTATTTCTTAGCCATTTAATAAAAATTTTAATCATTTACTAAAACTGTGCTACCATTTTTATTAGGGTTCTTTCTCTTTTGTGTGTCGCTTTTAAAGTTTTTGAGTGTTGTGCCCCTAACCTCATTTTTCTCCTTTAAGTCCTGTGGTTTTTATTGCATGATTTTGAGTAGAATGGTGCTTTTTAGGAATGCATATGTTGTATTATAGCAGAACTGACTGTGCTATGAAAATAACATTTTCAACTGTCAGCATGTACAACTGACAAAAAACAGCAAAGGAGATGATGCAGAACAATTTTAGAAGCTGGAAAGTGAGGCCGGCCCGTGGCTCACTCGGTAGAGTGCGGTGCTGATAACACCAAGGCCACGGGTTCGGATCCTATATAGGGATGGCCGGTTGGCTCACTGGCTGAGCGTGGTGCTGACAACACCAAGCCAAGGGTTGAGATCCCCTTACCGGTCATCTTTAAAAAAAAAAGAAGCTGGAAAGTGGAACAAGTTGTAACTTAGACCCAAGAAAGTTGAATCTTAAGCCAGCTGAGAGAAAACCTTAGCAACTGTCTCTACACAGAGAGAACTTTAGCAATATGCATGGGGTCTCCTTGAGTCCATTGCTGTAATGAGTATATTACTCAGTAATAACATATGAGTAACGGGTATAAGGTGAAACTCCAGGAGGCTAGGCAAAGAATGACTGAGGAGTTGTAAGCCAAAGAATCTCCAAACAAAGCTCAAACAGGGCTGAAAGACATTTCAAGTTCCAACCAGTCAGAGAGGAGAGTCCTTACTGAACAACTGGGACATTCGGCAGAGACCCCCAAAGGGTCATGCCTTAGTGGAAGGCCTAAACTAACCCAGAGTAAAGACTACTCTAAATTCACCCTAACAAAGCTTAATGTCAGAGGACTTATGCTACCTAATTTCAACACTGAATATAAAGCTACAGTGATCAAAACAGTGTGGTATTGGCAGAAGGATTACACACATAGATCAATAGAGCAGAATAGATCCTAGAAATAGGGCCAAACGTATACGGTCAACTGATATTTAACAAAAGTGAAAAGGCAATTTCATGGAGAAAGAATAGTGTTTTTAATGAATTGTCCTGAAAGAACTGGATATTCATATGAAAACAAAACAAAACAAAAGAAATTTCATGTATTACACAAAAATTAACTGGAAATGGACCATAGACCTCAATATAAAAGTTTAAACTATAAAACTCCTAGAAGAAAACAATAGAAAACTTCATAATCTAGGGGCAGAAAGAGATTTCTTAGATAGGTATAAAAAGCATGGAGCATAAAAATTTTGATAAATTGTACCTAAAAATAAAACCTTTTGCTTTTCAAAAGACACTATTAAAAACGAAAAGGCAAGCTATAGGCTGGGAGGAAATATTCATCATTCCTATATCTGACAATGGACTTGACTGCAGAATATATAAAGAACACTTATAACTTGATAAGAAGACAAATAGGCCAATTTAAAAATGGGTAAAATAAGGGGCTGGCCCGTGGCTCACTTGAGAGAGTGCGGTGCTGATAACACCAAGGCCATGGGTTCGGATCCCATATAGGGATGGCCGGTTAGCTCACTGGGTGAGCGTGGTGCTGACAACACCAAGTCAAGGGTTAAGATCCCCTTCCCGGTCATCTTTAAAAAAAAAAATGGGTAAAGTATTTCATCATACACATCACAGAATAATATATATGAACACCCAATAAGCACATAAAAATATGTTTACTGTTATTAATCATTAGAGAAATCAAATTAAAACAACTCTGAGATATCACTACATTCTCATTAGCAGGACTGATAATATCAAGTGTTGGTGAGTATGTAGAACGATCAGGATGTTCATATGTTGGTGGTAGGAAAGTAAAATTGTACAACCTCTTTGGAAAACAACATTGCAATTTCTTATAAAGTTAAACACAACTTACTATATGGCCCAGCAATTCTACTTCTATGTATTTATGTGCCTAAGAGAAATGAAAACATATGCCCACAGAAATACTTGTATAAGAGTGTTTACATCTGCTTTATTCATAATAGCCAAAAATTGGAAACATTTCAAATGTCCGTTAAAGGTGAATTTATTTAAAAAATGTGCTTTTTCCATACAATGGAATGCTACTCAGCAATAATAACAAGGAATTAAAATTGATACATTCCAACAACATGGATGAATCTCTGAAAATTTATGTTAAGCAAAAGAAGCCAGACCATAAATAGTACTTACTGTATAATTCTATTTATATGAATTCTCCAAAAGACTAATATGCTTTATAGTGACAGAAAGCAGATGAATGTTTACTTGGGACTTAGGGTTGTGAGGATTGACTGTAAAGAGGCACACGTGAATCTTTTGGTGGGTAGTGGGTATGTTCTGTATCTTTATTTTGGTGGTGGTTACATGTCAGAACTGATCTGAACATATACTTAAAATGAATGTATTTGATTGTATGCAAATTGTACCTTAGTAAAGTTGATTTAAAAAAAAAGACTGGAGGATTTGTTGAAGTCTGTGTAATAAGCCATTGGACCTCGAAATCCCCTACCCCACAAAGAATAGCCAGGTCTGTCCCTTCCCACCTCAGCAGAGGACTGTAGGTTTATACTCTGAAGACGGTTAAATAGAGGGTCTTTGTAACAAGGTAGAGTAAGCCCTGTTGAGGACATAAACGCTTTACTGAAAAGATGGGGATTAAGTAAAAGTTTACAACTGAATCCTGAGACTTCTGGCTCTCCTCTCTTATTTTGCATCCAGAGTGCTGGAAGCCAGGCTTATATACTCCAGGCAGTGATTTGGAAGTTTCTTCACTGGGCATGACCAGATGAAAAGGAAAGACCCCAAATCATTGATATTAGGATTTACCCATGTAAACAGATCAGCTAGCTTGCCTAGGGTTGACATGACTCACCTGTGCTCCCAGAATGCCCAACTGGCCTTTAGTGATACCTCTGCAATGTGAGTCAGCCATGGATCACTAGTCTTCTGAGAAGAGCCTCTCACACAAAAATTGGAGCTCCAACTACAAACAGGAAAAAACAAAAAAACAAAAAAAACCCCCAACAACAACAACAACAACA